TTAGAGGTGTAGTGGACATCATAGAAGGTTACCTCAGAACAATGGGATCATGATCAGATGGATCAATGTGCTGAGGAATGGCAGGTGGATTTAGATAAATATGAGGTGCTGCCTTTTGAAAAGGTAAATCAGGGCAGGACTTTAATAATTAATGGTAAGGTCCTGGGGAATGCTGCTGAACAAAGAGACTTTGGAGTGCAGGTTCATAGGTCCTTGAAAGTGGAGTCCCAGGTAGGATAATGAAGGCGGCGTTTGGTATGCTTGCCTTTACTGGTCAGTGCATTGAGTGTAGGAGTTGGTATGTCATACTGCAGCTGAACAGGATGTTGGTTAGGCCACTTTTGGAATACTGCGTGCAATTCTAGTCTGCCTGCCATAGGAAGGATGGTGCGAAACTTGAAAGGGTTCAGAAAAGATTTACAAGGGTATTGCCAGGGTTGGAGGTTTTGGGCTGTAGGGAGATGCTGAATAGGCTGAGCTATTTTCCCTGGTGCGTTGGAGGCTGAGGGGTGACCTCCTTTGAGGTTTATAAAATCATGAGGGACATGGATAGAGTAAATAGACAAGGTCTTTTCCCTGGGGTGGGGGAGTCTAAAACTAGAGGTCATAGGTTTAAGGTGAGAAGGGAAAGATTTAAAAAGGACCTAAGGGGCAACTTCATCACGCAGAATGTAGCACAGGTATGGAATGAATTGCCAGAGGAGTTGGTAGAGGCTGGTACAATTATAACATTTAAAAGGCATCTGGATGGGTATATGAGTAGGAAGGGTTTAGAGGGATATGGGCCAATTGCTGGTGAGTGGGGCTAGATTTATTTAGGATATCTTGTTGGCATGGACGAGTTGGACTGAGGGGTCCATTTCTCTGTGTACATCTCTATTATTCGCTCTGTTTCTCTGGCAATTGCTGTTTTTATAGCATTTTGCCATACTTTATTGTGCAGGAGGTATGTCTTTAGTGCTTATTGTATGAGCATGCTGGTAAACTACAGCTAGGGCTGCTGCTCATGAAGGTTGCTGGCACCATCTCTTGAGCCAACTCTGCCATTCCATAGGATGATGGCTGATCTGCTATTCCTCACTTCCACGTTCCTCTCTTTTCATGGGAAATTTTAGGACTAGAGGGCATAGTCATAGAATTAAGGGGTGCCAATTTAAGAATGAGATGAGGAGTTTCCTCTAAGGGTTTAGACTATTTGAAACTCCTTGCCACAGAAGGCTGTGGGATCAGAGCACCTGTGTATATTAAGACTGAGAAAGATTGCTTGAACATTAGGGGATTCAAGGTGTTTTGGAGAAAAGGCAGGAAAGTGAAGGTGACAAGTGTTGGATTAGCCATGATCCTATTGAATGGCAGAGCAGGCCAAATAGCCAATTCCTGTTCCTATGGTCTTGTGGTCTAACTGAGTGGCTTGCTCTTCCATTTGAGGGCAACTACATTACTGTGGGGTCTGGAGTCTCATGGAGGCCAGACCAGGTAAGGATGGCTGACTTCCTTTCCTAAAGGACATTAGTGAACCAGATTTTTTAAAAAATAATAATCAACAATGTTCATATGGTTGCATGGCCAGCTTTAATTCAACTTCACAATCTGCTGTGATGTGATTCAAACTCATGTACCCACTGATATTGTTCAGTGATATTACCACTACTCTGCTGCATATCTCAACCATAGTAGTTGGAAGAATTAAGTTTACATGTTCTATCCTCCAATCTGCATTTCTTGTTTGCATCTACTGTACAGCTAGTTAATTAGCAGAAAAAATACTTGTGTGTGCCCTGCTAGAGTTTATCATGTATAAATCACGTATTGCGGTGTAGCAATGCAATAGAGATAAACTGGTCATTCTATCATTATTATTTGTTTGATATTGCTGTTGTATTTGCTTGCTTAAGCATTGTGCTTTTATGGGCTGTTTTGAGGCATCTTGACAGCTTTGATATCAATATTTATTTTCAGCTACATCATAATTGACTGAGCAAATAAATACATTGCTATTGAGTGGAGACAAAGGAGCAATCAGTTGAGGCAAGAATGTATATTCAGCAAAATTTTGAGATAATGTTGAAGTGGAGTATGACAAACTGCTGTACAGCTCTACGATTCATTATTATGTAACCTTCTGCGTTTACCTGTTGATGAGTGTACTGATCTATTTTTGTTTGTACAGTCATTATTGGCTTGGTGCCAGCCCCCACTAATGTTGATTTGCATTTTGACTTGTAATTGCACTGCATACAGTTGGTGCATTTCATTGATATGCTGTTTATTTTGCTGAAGTGGGCATGTATGGCGGAAGGGTAAAGAATATTATCAGATCAACAAAATTGCAACCCTCAAACTTTGGACTGAAAAACATGAGTTGTCATCTGAACCGCAGTAAACCATTGGACATTTTTCAATGGTTGTATTTGTCATTTACATTAAGCCTGGCCTTCCTTTCCCAGCACAGAGCAGTGACAAATGAGTTTGTATGAAGCTGCTATCTGGATGAGAGCTCGATTTTAAGTACTATAGTATTAATGCCTGGAGTTTGATTCTTGGGATCTGACCTAAAACAACAACAACCTGCAAGTGTCTGTAAAATGTTATTGCAGTACAACTGAGTAAGGGCATCAAATTTAGAATTTGGTACGAGTGGTCTGTACTGAAACTTTATACATGAGCTTCCTTCCTCTTGAATTGCCTCTTCCTATTCTGCTTTTATCTTGATTCTCTATATGCATCAAGCCTCCACTTAACTGTGTCAATTGATATCTGCTCCAGCCATAACGCAATCCAAATTCACCCTAAATTATTTATTTAATCAGTTAGTGGCTGTGGCAAATACTTATGCTCTTTTCTGGACTCTTCTCCCAATGGAAAACAGAAATCAGAACTCTTCCTAGTCTTCTGTTTTCAAAAGGGAAGTATCCCAGTCTCTTTGATCTTTGCTGATGGTTGCATTCTCTTTTTTTAATATTAGAGAATAGTACGATCCAAGTATGGTCTGTGTGAGTTTCCATGTTAATGTAACTTTCCCCTGCCTGTACTTATATTCTCATCCAATAGAATTGAAACCCAGTACCTCTCTTTTGGCGTTTGTTGTGTGTAGCCATTTCAACCTGTCATCTGTATATCTGGATTGACATGTTTTTAATACAATATTGTTCATATAACCTTAATATTCCTCTACTACATTGTTTCTTTCCATCTGAAAAATGTGACCTCTTTATTCACACTATCAAAATTAATCGCCTTGCGCTTTATTTCATTTCAGTTGTCAATTTTCTGGTATCTTGGTGCTGTCACCACATTATCATGAAGTCGGTAATCTGCTTTTTAGATAAAAAAAACCACAACCTTCAAAATTCGACATGATAAATTGTATTTTAAAATCTTGTTAGCAGAACCCATCTGCTTAGTCCAAATTCTGAAATTTGTTTTTGGCCATATGCAAACTCGGACAGCTTGGGATTGTTCTAAAATATTGCCGCATCGAAGGAACCAGATCTGCCCCACAGGGATCCCTTGGGTGAGCTTGTAAAATAGATTGGTTCCACTCATTAATACAAATCACAACCTTTTTTTATGTAGTTACTTGATGTTCTGCAATACACTGAAATTCAACTGAAGTATTTGCTTTCATTTTTGTTATTTTACTATGCAACAATGCAACTTGACATGATATCAGAGCGATTGTAGATAAGGAAAATATATTAAATTAATTCATCTATTCAGAGATGTCCAAGCGTTTTTCAAGAATTCAAAGATTTCTGCTTTGATTACTAAGTTTATTTTATATATTAGCTGCTTTGAAAGTACCTTTCTCCAGCTTGAAGCTTAATCTGGGGCATTGAATGGTGGAGCAGGCTTAAAGAGCCAAATGGCCTACACCTATTCTTTTTATATGCTTCATTTATGTTTCCATATTGAAAAGCTCAAGTTCTTGTGTAGAGGCTTAAGAATCAAAACAATTGAAATGTTTGAGTTGATTGAAGAATTTGTTTTCAAGTACCTAGAAGCTATGTCTGCGGTTAGGGGAGTCCAGAACCAGGGTTTATAAACAGAACATGAGAGCTATGCTGTTCTGCTGTGATGTCAAGAAGCATTTCTTCTCAGTGTTATAGAAACCTGGAAATGTTTTCTTTACTCACCACTGCCCCCAAAATCTGTTGAGGCTACTGATTTTTGTTAACTCGGTGTATTTAGTGGATATGGGGGGGTGGGGGGAAGGTTGGTAAATGGAGTTAAGGATCCATATTGACTATGACTTGAACTGAAGGCTTATCGCTAAATGGTCATCTGTTCTACCAAACGTTATGCCAAGTAGGAAACGAGTAAGCAGACCGCAACAAAATCTTGCATTAAATTTTAATCCAGTCATAAGATCTGAGAAAATAGTGACAAGTGTTATCAGACTGTAAATTGCTTTGCAAATCATGTTTCTGGAAAGTTAAATAACCTCAAGTAATAACCCAAAGTTGTACAGCACCTGTATACAGACCAGGGCTGCTTAATGGTCGCCATTAAGTGCTGACTTGCCGAGGAATTTACAGATTAATTAAAGTGGTTGTGTTTTCCTGAATCTTAGAACTAATTAAAATTGAATGTTACCCTGGCATGATGTCATGGGTGCAACTGTGTATGTACAGATTGAATGCAGGGGACAGTTACTTTGTTTATAATGTTCTTGTGACATTGACTGCACAATATTCACCTTACTTTCACAATCTTCCATGTTTCAATTACCTGTCATTCTACATTTACAGACAACACAGACCACTTTACTCTGCCTCCTATCATAAAACACTGCTCTCGTTCCAGGAACCAATCTAGTGAACCTTTTGCTGTACTGTCTCTGATATAAATTTATTCTTTCTTGGGTTCCTTTCTTTCTTAGATTCTGGTTGTGGTCTTACCAAACCCCTATGTGATTGTAATACAGATGGCACAGTCTGGCTACTGATAAAAATCCTGTCTGTTGCAATGCTCTGAATTTTATTTTAATTTCCTCTGACAGAATTTTGGCATTGTGAATTCAGAAAATGGCTGGAAGTGAAAAATCACATGAACTACAGCATCACCGCTTGAGGATGTTGAAAGAACAGCAGAATGGTAATGCCACAGGTGAGGCATTGTCCCGGGAGTTTGCCATTACAGCAATTCATTTTTTTTTTTAAAAAGAAATTTCTATAATTTCCACTGGAGTGGTCAAACTAAATCAAGCAGTTTTCTTCAACTACCTCAATTAAGACTTTTTCCCTTGTATTTGATCTAAGCTGAGGATCACAGTTGTACAAGGGAATTATTCATCATCAAAGATGCAAGTATAAATTTGGGGTACCTAAGTGCTGTAGTGCCTCTCCCATTACGAGCTCCCATATCCATGTTTGTTCATTTCAAACACATAATCAAATTGAGACTATTAAAAGCAGGGGTCCAGGTTTGATTCCAGCCTGTGTGGAGTTTGCATGTTCTCCCCGTGTCTGCGTGGGTTTTCTCCGGGTGCTCCGGTTCCCTCCCACAGTCCAAAGATGTGCAGGCAAGGTGGATTCGCCATGCTGAACTGCCCATAGTATTTGGGGATGTGTCGATTAGGTGGGTTATAGGGGATGGGTCTGGGTGGAATGCTCTGAGGGCCAGTGTGGATTTGTTGGGCCAAAGAGCCTGTTTCCACACCGGAGGGATTCTGTGATCTGTGAACTTCTGTAAAGAAAGAATAAACCAGCAAAGCTTTTATTATGTTTCCTGTTATAAATTGATGACTTGTAGAGAAATATTGGCCATAGGAGGTCTTGGTCACCATATATACTAGATTAAGGGTAAGAGTTGACCCATGACCTTAGGCCAAAAATAATTTTCCATCTATCTAGTGTTTAAGCCCATTCCCAATCTTTAGCCAAAAAAATCCAAGTTGTGTATTCTTACTACCCGCTTGTCACTGGAATCAAACTCTCCCTGGTGCAAACCGATTCATTAATAGAATAACATGCCCGTGAAGGTGGCTGTTCAGTTCCTTGTGTCAACATGTGATTTTTAAGGCTGCCACTTCAAGATTGTGCACTGTGTCCTTATGTGCTACTTTTGAGGCAGCTTTGGTGGGAGCAGTCTTTGACTTGGTAACTGAATGGTGAGATGATAGGAATGGGTTTGGTTTGAACAACTTCAAAGCATGATTCATGTTAAAGATTATCTTTCTTTTGTAGATTTTAGAAACTTTACTCTTACATGACTATATTATGTGGCACAAAGTAATGAGTGTCAGCATGCTCTTCACTGAGGGTGGGGTTATACATCAATTTTATTATGAACTGGCATCCACTTTTGTACTTCGACAGTAAATTGATCAAAATAAAGACCATTGCATTTGTTTTTCCCCTTGTCCCCTTCAGTACAAAAATGTAAACTAGTTACCCCATTGAAACCTCTTGTTATAGGTTTTTGAGTCAAGACAAAAGGAAAGGCAGTTAATCTTTGCGAAATTGGCAGAAGATTTTGTTTTCTTTACCATTATCTTTGCAACCTTCCCCTACCCTGTGCATGTAGAATATAAATGTTAATGGCATCAGTTGATGGTCCAAGATTTTGGGTCTACTCTCATGCTATATCCAAATAATGCTCTTGCTTGAAACTCTACTATGTAAAAATCCTAAATGTAAATTGACTACACTTGCTGCAGGTCTTTGATCACACTTTGCACTTTCCAGGTTGTTTAAAATTAATTTCAGTTCTGAAATTGTTCATGAGACTGGTTTTCGCTTCTGTATATTTTTGGCACAATACTGCTACTTGCCCATTCTTTCTCAAAGTTACTTTTGATAGACAGCACAGTTCTTGAAAATACCTTTCTTTTTATGTCTTCAGATCTCTTGACATTGAATGAGAAGAAAGCGAGGGATCGTGAGGAAAGGGAGACTCTTGTTTTATGGAGGCGACCAATGATCACCCTGCAGTACTTTCTCTTGGAAACTGTTGTAAATTTAAAAGAATGGGCATTAAGGTAAAAATATTTTACTGGTGAAGCTGGCTGAACAACTGGCTAATTTCTAGTCATTTCTGAACTTTTCAAAATTGAATTCTGAAGTATTTTCCAAAATGAGAAATTCCACTTCTTATTTTCTCGCTATAACATCTATTGCATGTCTTCAAGTATGTTTTATTTCTTTTGAGCACTGTTTATTGTTGCCTTAATAAATTTGAGGCAGACCTGTGTCCCAGAGCTAGCTGTGCCTCTGGCCAAGCTTTTATGGTACAGCAACAACACTGGCTGCTACCCAACAAAGAGAACCTGTCTTCACAAAAAGTAGAAAAAATTCCATTCACCCAATTACTGTCCCATTAATTCACTGCCAAACAGCAAGTGTTAATGGTGCTGTCAACATCTTGGGAGTCGCTCTTGCCAATGACCAGTTTTAAACAACATTGTAAATTGAGTTGAATGCAGAAGGTCAATTGAGTGACTGCTTTTGATGTTAATGCTGAGCGTGTGTGCTCTTTCTGTGCAATACTTTGTCATTGTAAGGTTAGAAGTGAAGATGTTTGATAATTGTGGTGTTCAGTTTGTTTCGCAGCACATCAAATAACGAAGCAGCCTGTTCCCATGTGATGTGAAATTTTTTTTTTTTCAATATTCACTTGTGGAATGTGCGTATCCCTGACAAGCCAGCATTTATTGCCCATCCCTAGTTGCCGTAGTGATCTGCCTCCTTGAACTGCTGCAGTCTACCTGCTGTGGCTTGACCCACAATGTCATTAGGGAGGGTATTCCAGGAATTTGACGCAGCAACACTGAAGGAACAGCAATATGTTTCCAAGTCAGGATGATGAGTGACTTGGAGGTGGTGGTGTTTCCATGTATCTGCTGTTCTTGTCCTCAGTAGAAGTGGTCATGTGTTTGGAAGGTGCTGTCTGAGTATCTTGGATGAATTCCTGCAATGAATCTTGTAGATAGTACATACTGCTGCTACTGAGTGTCAGTGGTGGAAGGGAATGGATGCTTGTGGAATGTAGTGCCAGTCAACTGGGTTGATTTGTCCTGGATGGTGTCAAGCTTCTTGAGTGTTGTTGGGGCTGCACTCATCCAGGCAAGTGGGGAACATTCCATCACACTCCTGACTTGTGCCTTGTAGGTGGTGGACAGGCTTTTGGGAGCCAGGAGGTGAGTTACTCGCCGCAGTATTCTGACCTGCTGCTGGAATTTGGAACACGTTCAGGCTAATGCTGTCTTGCAAGTGCTGCACAATGCCTAAATCCAACAACAGGCTTTGACCACCTACTTTGGACATTCAACAGCATTACCTTCACTGATTCTCTGGCAATCAACATCCTGGGAGTTGACATTGACCAGTAACTTACAGGTCAAAGGTCGGGTATTTTACAATGAGCATCTTGCTTCCCCAAAGTCTTTTGGACAATAAATATTTTACGCTTGCTTGGATAAGTGTAACTCAAGGTCACTTGAGAAGCTCAATACTAAGAGCAACACGGCAGCCTGCTTGATTAACGCCTTAAACATTCATTTCCTTTACCAGATACTGAAGTCACTGTGGGTATCACCTACAAGATGTCCTGCAGAAACCTCAAAGGTTTCTTTAAAAGGTGTTATGTTTCAAGAAGGACCAGGAGGCTGAAGTGTTTAACAGCAGGAGCTTCATTAAGGAGATGTTTGCCCAACAGGCAGCAAGGTTAGACTAAGCTGTTTCCTGCCCAAATTTGCCAGCGATATCATCATGATGTCTTTTAATTGGACTCTTACAGTGACAGTAAACCATACTTGAACAAAATCCCTTCCTCCTTTTACATAGATTTCTGCAATGAAAACATGCAAATATTTACAATCATGCATTACAGTCAGTAAGTAAGAAAGACCTTCCGGAGGACATTGATTCCTTTGTGTCTGTTGGCACACCAGGCTTCTGGTTATTTGTCTCATTGGGCTCTAACCTCTGGCATTCTCGGTTTACTACATCTGTTGTTTTGTTAAGATAAATGTTTGGAAATGTTGTGGTATTCTCCACTAAGGTGTACTGATTCCCTGAGATGTTTCTGTTCTAGTTACTGTTCTGTCTTTAGGTGTATCCAGGTCTCTCTTTAGAAATGTAGACAACTAGAAAATAGGAGCAGGAGTAGGCCAGTTAGCCCTTCAAGACTGCTTCGTCATTTATTATGCTCATGGCACAGTTACTTGTAGAAATTCACTAAATGTTGTCTTTGTTACCAAGTTTTGACCTGCATATCTACTCTATACCGTAGCATTTCTTATCTCTACATTGTAGGAGATTGGTCCAATCTGTGCTATTGTGATGGCTGGTACTCACTTCTTGCCAGTGGTGTAATTCCTTGCCAATTTCATTTGACCGTTTGGTCTTGTCCTTTCTCAGGAAAATCTGATTCTATTGTTTTGTGGAAACAATGTCTTTTGTCATGGATGGTTTCAGCAAATCAAATGTCTTGTGCAACTGACACTTAACCATGAGCAATGCTGGAAAACTTTGAGTCATTGAGTGGGTTGTTTTCCAGTGCATTAAAACAAAATTGCTCATTTGTTTAGATAGTGACACTTGTTCTCAAGTTACCTTTATGGAATGTTCCATTGTTTGAACAGAACTTTTCTGCCAAACCAATTGTAGCTGGGTGATAAAGAGCTAATTGAATATGTTGAATTTTGTTCTGCTTTAAACAATCTAAATTTTTTCGGTATAAATTGTGAACCATTATCACTAACAAGCTCTTCCAGGTAACCAAACCTTCAAAAAGATCTCCCCAGATGTTTTAATGATTTTCTCCTGAAGATGTTGTTTTCGTGATGGGCAACTTCAGGCCATTTAGACATGTCATTTAAAAACATTCAGCATTCATGTCCATCACTTTTGGTAGTAGTGGATCACTTCTAGTATACTTCTTTCAAGTGTCTCCATTATTGGAGTTGCCTTTACTTTTTCGAAGTAGAAAACGTCTGCATAGTAGTTGACTCATTTGGCAAATGTAATCTAGAGAGTTTATCAGTATTCCTATGCAAATTGGATTGCTGGTACTTGATTATATAAGTGTGAGTTATCAGCAACAAAATCCACCTCTGTGTATGACTCGCTGCTAGAAAAGGTATCCTTTGTATGAGGCCAAAATATTGTTTTCAATAGACTATGGACTGTTAGTAGAGTAAATTCCCAGCCATACAGTCATTGGAATTATCTAATGCTGAAAATGATTCTTGGAGCTTTTTTCTCCGTGTATAGTTCATTTCTGCTTTGTTTAACGATCTGATGCAAAAGCCTCTCATCACCATTGGCTAATCCATAAGAAACAACTACTCCCACTGCATGCAGCATGCTAGATGGATCAGTACGGGTCAAAATGGGTCAGGAAGTCTGACTTTGAAGCCTTTTAAACTTGTTTTATGGCTCTTTCACATTGATTTTTCCACTTCCTGTTCTTGTTTTAGTGTAATAGTGCAAACGTTTGAGAATGTTGGCAAGATTTGGAACAAACCTGCCCTAGCAAGCCCAAAATTGATTGCAGTTGATTTACATTTTTGGGCATTGGTACCTCACATATGACTTTACTTTTGAAGGTGACATTTGTAGTCCTTTAGTATCAATGACATGGCCTAAACATTTGATGTAAGATTTTTAAAAAAAATCACATTTGTCTTTCCTCGCTCTTAAACCATAATTTTCAAATCTCTGCAAGAGTTGCATCTAAATTGTGGAGATATTTTTCTTATTTATTTCTACCTATGACTAAAATATCATCAAGGTAACACTAGACTCCTTCAAATCTACTTAAAAATCTGATTAATGGCACATTGGAATCACATAGGTACAGATGTGATTACAAATGGAAGCCCTCTTGTACTTGAATAGTCTTTTATGTGTTGCAATTGTCAAGTATTTCTGAAATGCCAGATCTACATTCATCTGGAGATGAGCTTGACTAAGTTCAATTTTACTGAAAAGTTGACCACCAGCTATTCCAGCAAATAGGTCATTAATTAAAGGCAAAGAATATTACTCAGCACACAGCGTTGGATTAATAGTGACCTGAAAATCACTATAGATTTTACCAATCCATCTTCCTTCATTACTAGTACAGTAGGTGTGGCCCAATCACTCTTTTATTTTGCAGGTTCAAGGACTCCTGTCTTGACTGCCTCTTTCGTTCTGTCTTGACCTTTTGATCTGAATGCAAAAGGGGCTGATCTAGCCTTGGAACACTTTTGCCTGATTCTCATCCTTGATTTTCAATTTGATGTGCTTCCCAGATCCCCACTGAAAACAATGGCATGTTTCTTTAGAATTTGCAATAGATCAGACTCAGAACCTGACAAGTGATTTACTTCAGTCCGGTTGAGTTTGATTTTTGTCCAATTACATTCCTCCCAATAAAATAAATGTAAAATAAGGATAAATGTTCAAATGGATAGTCTCACTGAATATTCATATTGATCCAACCCCTCAAATGCACCACCTCACCTGTGTACATACTTTGTGCTGAAACCCTCAAAAATTGCGCTATGTGACTCCGATGCTTTTGATACGCACTTTAAGGTGTCAATGAAACTGCTACTCCACTGTTACACCTCTGTTCTTACTGGTTAGCCGTTCACTAAGGGAGTGACCCGGTATCAGTTAGCGTTGTCACCAACGGCTAGTATATTTAATAATAGCTCTTCTTAGACTGAGAGTCTGCGCTTTTCTCGGGTCTGTCTTTGTAATGTGTAGATTTTCTTCCTGCTCTTTTGGTTTCTGTATTTTTGGTGTCTATTTGTGTTTCTTCATCAAACATGCATATTCAATGTGCCTTTTTATTATTTGCAAAAATAAACAGCTGCTTTATTACCAAAAATTTGCTGCTGCATGACCTGTTTTCTACTATAGTTTAGAATCTGAGGTGCTTGTGTCTCACCACCGGTGGTTTTGTGAACTCTCATGCTCAAGCTTATTTGTTGAGCTTCCTTGGCTGCTAGTTTCATCGACACTGCTATTCCCAGTGCTTTAAGTC